TGGTAGCTGCAATATTTTTTAAAACTATTAAAATGAACTGCGTTTATGCATAAAAATGTCTCCATCAAATTTAAAGAGCTATACAAGGCATTAAATCAAACTGCAAGCTTTGCCCACTTTCAGGAGAACGACCAGAAAGAGAAGTGTAAAATACTAAATGGCTAATCAAAATAATAATACACACACACATATATATATAATATATATATTCATATATATATATATATGAAGAGAGAAAAAAATATATATCAGGGCTTAGTCTGAATTCTGACACAGTTGTCATATTTACTTCACAAGAAACCACACAAGAATGAAACATATGGGATAAAATCCTATATTTAAATGATTAATGAAGAATCRCATTTTAGAATACAGACAATTTATAGTAATTACGTAAGTGTTTTAACGAATATGCTCTGATTTATTGTGCAATAATATATGTAACAAACTGTACATGTTCACAAATTGAAGCTGACAAACTGAATGAACAAAATGCAYGGATTAATGACCTGCAGCATATTAACAAAAGTATATCTATTTAATAACACAGTTACATACAYGCACAAAACAGGAATGTATAAAAGGAAAAATCAGAATTCATAAGAGAAAATAAAACTCTTTCAAAATTCCCTGCAACTTTCTGTATAAACAATTCATGTAAGAAAATATCAAGAAATGGCAATGATAGGGTTTCTAAAGCCGTTTTCTTTTGGCCGTATTGAATAATAACTTCTCGCTTGAGTGTACAGCAGATTGCAGAAGAGTTTACAGCTACATATGAGTGACACATTGAAATATGCCTATTACATAATTAATTTTGTAAGTGAAAATATTAGTAATAGGGTTGCAATGCCTTGGACTCATCTTAAAACAATAAATTTTACTGTTTTTCAAAGCCCTGAGACTATTCATCCTGAACAATCATTACACTAATAATACATTAAGATTAAACTAAACATTAAATTTTCTGATCTGCTCACTTTTTTTATGAGACCCCCTATTTTTATTTGGCCCTTTCCTCCCTATATTCTCCCCTCAGGTATYTGTACATGTTAATAAGACCTTCTCTCAACCTTCTCTTCTCCAGGCAACAACCATGCCTTACAACTTTATCCAGAAAGACACAGACTGTGCTGAGTCTGTTGTCTGGGTCACTTGCATGATTTTTAGAAACTTTTAACTCATTTTATTTCAAACTTTTTGTGACTCCAGAGGTGGAAACACACSTGAAAACATGAGGAAGGCAGTGGARGAACATTATGCCTACATTGTAGCCTAGAGAGGGATCSTAGGGCAGGAGAAATCTTCACTGCCTAAAAAACTTCCAAGCCACCTCTGAGGGAAGTGATACATTGGCTCTCAAAGAGCAAGAGATGATATATGCAGTTCTCTATGTAGAAAATCTTTCATTCTATATGTACGTGGCACAATAAAGACATAAAGCATAAGTGTAAAATTCACTATTATTCAGAGGTATGCATCTGGCTTGCAAGAGATGTGTGTAGACTCTCTGTGGTTGTGGCAGGGAAGTTTCAAATAGTGTAATTAGGATTGAAGTTAGTAAACATTTTGTGAGAAGTTTGTAGTGGGAGGAGGATATTAAGCAGAGTCTAAATCTTCCATCTGGAGAGAAAAAAAAATAAGAAAAAAAAAGCATCTGGAAAAGAAAGGATCTTCGTCTGGCAAATAAACTCCAATTAAAAAATCTCTCCTACCACAAAGACATACTGTTAATGAATCTTCAAAACATAGCTTAAAATGGCAAGATGTTTTCCTGATCTAAAAACTTCACAAATTTTCTGTCATATGTGTAATAATGCAGTAAATATGGAATAGACCTYGGAGTAGGAATAGCAGTATCTTTTCATAGTCAACATGAAAACAATACTAAAGAAGAATTAAAAAGAATCCTGAAATCTTAGTTCAGAAGCCCTCTTACTTGGTTAATTTTTGCTTACAAAAAAACAAGCAAAAATACTTTGCATGAGTAGAAGCCCAATTTGCACTCCCCCAATCTTATTAAGCGTCTTGCCTAAGTAAACCGTGATCTCAACATGCAAAATTTAAAACTCAAATGTTAGTTTATAATAAACAGAGCTGCTCGGAAATGCTGTGAGCAACGATAAAAGGCCTGGCGGTATTTTTATTTATGCACATATTTTATTAGAAGGGTTCAAAAAGTATTCAGTGAACACCCAATATCAGCAGTGTTCTCTCCCAGGGCTAGCAGTGCTAGCTCCTCACTCAGCTTTTCTGCACTATCCAAAAAAATCCCTTCATGGGCCACTTTCAAGCTAGTGTTTGTCATGCTAGAAATTATATATACATATATAATATATATATATATATACACACACACACACACACCCCCATGGTATTCCGAGATATCAATTTCTGTTTTAACTTGCATCTCTGGTTATATCTGACCTCCCATCTTTTCAGTACTTTGATTTTCAGAGGAAAAAAAAAACTAAAATAACTCTTATTCTGTGAATTTCAGTCACAGAAGAATTCTGGTTCATTTAAGTTCAAATCAGACATTCCAGTTTATGTGAACGGTAATGAAATTCAGACAAACTCCTCTGGCTGCGGGCCCACCGACTTCTGGCTGCAGAGTACACACAGCTGGATGCCTGTAAATGGGGCAGGAGTGAATTTCTGCATATAGGTTAATGACTGTTCTGCGTCATCAAATATAAGAGTACAGACAACAAGCCAAAGATCTCAAAACAGCATTTTGCCTGACTGGCAACTTTCTAGTAAAAACAAAGCTTATTTTTCCGCCTGTATTCACACTGCATGATGTGAATATTAACAAAGCAGACTGCGCTAAAGCAACAGGGGCAGAGAGAAAATTGTAGCTGCATTGATCTACAATAACTTCAGCTTATAGCTACACATTTACTCTAATCCATCATAGATCCATGCTGATACTAAAACAATCACTTCCATCTTTGCCTGCTTATTCTCACTGCCATCATTGGGCTGGCAGAAGGATTTGGGCAGATATAAAGTGACGTTAGTAAATGACGCAGTAAGATTTTTTTCTGCGAACAGCGCTTTRTGTCAAACTAAAATGTTTAGTTATGGATCATATTTTACGTGGCTATAAGCCCATAATTTTCTAAAAGAAAAYCAAAGATGAGGTCAATCAGTATGTGTTTCATTCTGCAAAGCAAATACGTTCAAATTATTATTTTTAACTCAGTAAGTATAGTTTTAAATCTAGCTCTGCTCACTTCTTATCTTAAAAATCTGATGCTAAGAAAGTACCTCCTGCATAAACCTTGAGTCTAAAAAGTATAGTCCACCTTAAAGATTATTGCCAACATGAGCAGAGTGGCAGGGAAGGCAGGAAGACTGTCTGCACAGTAACAGCAGAGCTTAGGTAAAGGCTTAACCATTGCTTAARACCTTAATTTAATAGCTTTTCAAAAGACATTCATGAAAGACAGGTTTGAAACTTTTAAGAAAAAAAAAGGACAAATCCCATCTTTTGACTATTTATGATAAAAACTGTTAAGAAGCCTTTCAAGAGTTACTTTGCAGCTACAAGTGCAGTAAAGCAGTTGGCTAAAAACCTTCACGAGCATCTTCACAGAAATGTATGTTAGATTATTGCCCCCTCCCTGAATAAGCATGATAAGGTAAAAAAACAGAGCAAAATGAACAAGTAAATTCTACTTAATGTAAGATTCTTGAACTTGATTCTTGAAATACTATTCAAATAATTCATTCAGCTTCTGGATGAAGATCCCYGAGTCAAACTATAAAGTATATTTCAAACAAGTTACGGTTTCTATAATTGTTCTGAGCAACTTACAGAGAATCATCGCTTTCCCTGAAATATAGTTCTGCAAATTGAGTAATACTTTTCTGGTAACAAAGTATTTTCACTTGTATCTGTAAAAAACTTTATCATGATTCATTCACTTTATTGGCAAGAGATTTTTTCTGACTGTGTATGTGGATTATCAACGCAGTCACTCCTACTAAGTTTGGACTGTAAAACAGAAAAGTAGTAAATAGGCARTCTATTGGTCTGTATTTATCCTTTACCTGTAAATGTAACCTCTTTACACCAGAGAAAAAGTTTTACAACCTTAATACCAGATGTGCAGTTATCACCACTGAAAATCCAGTTGGTTATATCCTCTCATGTCTCTTGTCCACTATTTTCTTTCCCTATTAGTCTGACTAACAGAAAATACTGTTACTATTTAAAATTATCACCAGAACTTAAAACCCCAACTTTTTACAAATCAATTACAGAGTAAAATCAGGATTTCTTTCCCATCCTTCCTGGTAACTTTCTCTTGTATTTCACCTTAAACACTCTGAATAATCTATAGCACTACATGGAAATTTATGTTTGCACACAATCAGGCATAACTCAAGATTATTGTGAATCCATGAATCTCCTCATAAGGAAAAGTTTTCMTTTTCCTGCCAGTGAGAGTTTACACTCATAGTAACCAACAGGCACACATTGGGAACTCTGTCACTGCCTAGAACCTGTGTGACAATGTTCCTACGTCTCTAAAAYTACCCGAGCATACACTGGACATAGGAACTCGTGAGATGGAGAGCTCAATATCTTACTGAGTCTGTTTACATCCTGCTTTTACTATGTAATTTTCACTCTGAACTTGCCAATTTTAGACGCAAGAAGCCCAAATTACCTTCTCAAAACCTTCTCAAATTACCTATCAAAACAGATATTACAGTTTGGTCGATCTCATTTGGAATTAAAAATACTAGGCTGAACTTAACAAATACCGATATATGCAAAATAAAAATGCCAAAAGGCTGAAAAAATTTAAAAAATGCTAATTTCTTTTGCCTTTCAAAAAACGGTGGAAACAACATACAAGTTATAACATGCAAGTTTTACTCCTTCCACTTCCCACTCCCAAAAAAGATTTTCTTTTAAAACCTGCAATTAAGAATTGAGCTGTTTAAAGTTGAAGATTTAATTAATTACAAACAATACAACTTACCTTCCTGTCTGTTATTTTTCCTTTTTAGCCATTTTTCCACAGTTTCTGCACTTACACTTTCTGATACAAATTCATCCAGTACCTGGGGGTGGAGAGAAAGATAGGCCTTCACTTTCTCATCGGTTAAACCTRCAAAAGAGAATATTAATTTATTAATTATATCATTGCTGTAACAATTTCCATATGAAATAATACAAAGAGCCCAGTGTTTATCAGTGCCCTGTTGTTTAATGTGCTGATACAGCATATGTCTGTTTAAACTCCCCAGAAGGAGCAGCACTTCAAGTATAAGCAGCATTAGGGACAAAATATATCTATGCGAGACACTGTGTACAGAAAGACTCCTGTGGSAATACATAACTTTTTGGAAGAATCTGACTTAAAAATGGATGATGCAACCGAGACAAGTGAATTAAACATAAAATGAGTAAGTGGCTTGAGATTGTAGAAAATGTGAAATAAAAAGTTGCTTGGGATTTTTTTTTTGGCCATTCTGTACTTATTTATTATGTGGCATAGGCAAAGGGATGTGTTATCAGAGACAGTTGACAGAGCTAGGTGGAATGAGATAGTAGAAAGGAAGCAGCAAATTCAGTATTTTCAGTGTAAGCAAGAACAGCAGCACCAACTTTTTGATATAACATCAAAAATCAGGTTCAAATTTTAAAAGTATTGGAGTTATGTCAATTTAGAAACAGAAACACTGTATTTACAYGCAAGCTTCCATTATCTAGCAAATATCCAGTTATTGAAATAAAATTAATCCTAAAGGCCTTTGCATTAAGAAAAAAAACTCTAACACACACTTCAACTACCGAAGCAAAATTCACACTCTCAAACTGCCAGTATAAATATTATTAATTCCCAATTCCATAAAATCACAAGTTTATCATATTGTCCAAAAATCCACTGAATCAAAACCACCAGTCTTAGAAACATCCAAGAACCTCTACTGAAGTTCAAGGGAAAATAAGAAACAAGTGCAACTGATCTGCAAGAAGGAGAGTCATAATTTCAGATTTTTCAAACAGCACTGAGCTTTCTGAGAGAAAATTAATGTAAAAAAAAAATTTTTGCTATTTTACACTTAGCATATTTCAGAATATACTGAAACTAAGGTGTATTCAAATGCTGGATCAACCTTGAAGCTGTTTTACAAGTTTCAGTATGAAAACACTGAGACAATAATACCAAAAAACAAACCTGACTACTTCCTGCACAGCACCTGCCGCAGCTCATTCACATACCCACCATCACAGACTGCCCAAAGTTTTAAACAGAGTCCTCTTAATCGGAGTAGGTTGGAGCTCCAGATAAATATCATAGTCTCCAATATCAACTTTCCCCTATTTGGGCAAAATTTTCCAGTTCTGGATCATTTGAATTACAGAACTAACTCAGCATCCTGATTTTTGCTAGCCAAGAAGGTTTTTTGTTTTGTTTCCCATATCAGAGTTAAAAAAAGAAATAAAAAACACCAACAGCAGAAAAAAAACCCTGCTTTGCATGCCTAATATTACACAACAGTGAACCTAACTTTCTTGCGCATGCATTCTTATTTCTTGATTTAAATGRAAGTATTTATCTAATTCTAACTTTTATGGGACATGTTCTTTGTAGTATAGATGGCAAAATTCAGTAAATTGTCTATTTTGGAGCTAAGGCTCCAATCCACACGTCACCGCCTTAATTTACATCCCAAGCACCCTGCAATTTCAGCAGCCTGAAGGTGAAAGTTCTGCTTTAACCTCTTATGGAAAAGTGATTCATTGAACTGATAAAAGAAATCCCACAATAATATTTAGTGAAATAAGGAAGGGTACTTTAAAGGCATCTGTGCAGTTGTGCTTTTGCAATCACAGGTTTTTCGACGGGAGTAAGCAGGACAGGACTTAAAACCACACCTGCAGAGTTAAAAAAGATACTGCACTGCTCTACAGAATGAAACAGATTTATGCGTCCTCCTCACCTTTGATCTACTTAATAGAATAATACATTATTACAGCCACACAAAGACACACACACAAATGATGGCTAGCTATTTTTTCTATTAAAATAGTCAAGTAATCACTAGCATGGTAAGGTACAATAAAGTATTTAGGACAAGAAATTTTTCTACATATATTTAAGTTAGCAATAATTCTCCACCACTTATCTTCTCATCTGAAGGCAAAACACGTCACAGACACTGAATTAACAATTTATTAGCCAGGAATGCCATTTCCTGCTGGCTGGGAAGACCTCGCACACGCAATGCCTGCTCCCCGCACACACCAGGAAGCCTCCTGTGGGCTCCGGCGCTGCCAGCCCTTCTCTCCCTTCGCTCATCAGCTCCGGCAAGGGCCCCAAGCAAACGTATCAGTATGGCATAACACAAAAAGGGGCAGCAGCCAACACATCCATACGCGTGTTGATCCATACGTCTCCTCACAAACTGTTCAAGCCCAAGCTCCCCTCATTTTTTTCAACCTAGCTACAGAGAGCATTTCCTCTCCTGTGGGGAGGTAGCCAAGCTGCACAGCTCGCTTCCTTCGAGGCCCTACTGTGCGGCTCGACACTTCGGCCAGGAGGATGCCCCTTTCCTGGGAGCAGCCCCGTCCCCTCGCAGAGCCTCGGTGGTACCAGCAGGGCCAAACTCCGGCCAGCAGCTCCGCACACACCCAGCCAGGGAGCACACACAGACTTCAATGACCCTTATTCCTCAGGGAATTAGAGAAGGAATCACGCATTTCGGTCACCCGACCGTTCATTCCATTTGCACATCGGAGTTTGCTTTCCTAATTCACACATACCCGGTTTAATCTTAAAACATACGCACACAGACACATGAGCACACTACAACCTTTCCCTCTCATATTCTTRTTTTTCAGGGATAAACCCAGGTTTCTGCGCGGGTATCTTTTTGGCACAACTCACACTGCTACGCACGCGTTACCTATTTGTTCTGGATTTGGGATTAAATAATGAGCATTGTAATAAAAATACAGCACAAAAGGATACAGGCATATCAGATAAGCGCTTCTGTTCTTCATTTCCCTCAGAACAAACYGCAGGCAACGCAGCGGCTCCGAGCGCCCCGCGCCCCTGCAGGTCAGCAGCTCCCGGCTTCCTGCCCTGCACTGTTGTTTGGGTTCCCTCTGCAGAGCTCAACTCTCGGTGTCCTCTTGGCCATGCCATCTAGTTTATACCACTAGCTCGTAGGCACGGAAAACATTAATCAAGGCTTGCTCCACTGCAAGGGTTTCTTTTTCTTTATTTTCTTTTTTTTTTTTTTTTTTCCATTTCTTGGCTGCCTCTATCTTAACAGTAACTTGCAATACAGCTTGTCTGCATATGGTAGGTTTTACAGAATCACAGAATGGTTGAGGTTGGAAGGGACCTCTAGAGCTCATCTAGTCCAACCCTCCCTGTTCCAGCAGGGACACAGGCAAATATTTCTCATTATTTGGTTTATGGATCTTTCAGCATTATTTCTTTAGATTAGGATGGGCTGATATAAAATTAGCAAAACTCTGTACAAAGCATAAGGTAGAAGGCAGGCTGCCCATTCCTAACATCGCCCAAGAGGCAATGCCTCCATCAGCTAAAGACATCTTTATTGCTAAACTGGAATAATCTTTCTCATAGGAGATTCATTCTGTGATTTTAAGAGTGGGAAGGGAGAATCAAATGACAGAAAAGAAACAGTTAAACTTACTTTTAATGTTTTTATAGACTGATTTATTTTGGTCAGAGGTATAAATGTCTTGTACTGAATAAACTATAGGCACATTCCACTTGGCATATGCCTAAGACTTGAGCTATTCATTTAATTTATTTGGCACACTTCAMACCAATTTATCAAATCACTGAGGGATTCTTGAGTTGGCCTTAGGTGGGGCAGGTATAGGAGAGTTTTTTAAAATTCACAAACCTCATCATTTACTGTGACAAATTAGAAGCTGAGCTGGACTCTCCAGTGGCCTTGTGACTCATACTTAAAAAAAAAATTTTAAATTTAAATTTAAATTTAAATTTAAAAAAGGCTTCATTTTCATTGAGGAGGAAGGAAGAAGGATTCCTTTACCTGGGGATAACTGGCAACTTTAGCAGAGCTATTCAAAGTGAAATAGGTTTTCATATAGATTCTGAACAGCCATATTACTCCTTTATTCTAACAGGCTCCCAGAACTAAAGCATTTGAATTTTAATATTATAACTAGGATTTGGTTCTTTTTGCTAATATTTATACTAAAAGCTAAATGAAAACACCCCTTTTCCCCCCATCACAGCTAACATACATCTGTATTTCTGTACTCTCTATCTCATGCAAAGCTTAAGTATTGTAAACTGCTGGGTTTAGTGAAAAGCCAGGCTTCTAAAGCCTGGATTCTTCTTTTCATCTCTCAGCTTACATTTTATCTACATCACTACTTCATTGGTGATATTGGCAGGTGGAACTTAAAATAGATTAACTGAGTTCACAGCAGAATGTCCTACGGTCCAGCATAAGACAGCCAACRGTTTCGTAAATCACACATATAAAATCTGAAATGCTTTCTATTCTGCCGAAATGACCGGAGAAAACTAGGGACCTATTATTGCAGCCCAGCCATGGATCATTTCAGTGCTAGATTAGCCAGTCTTCTGCTCAGTACATCTGCTTTCAAAACTGCTTTCTCTTTAAATCAATCATGAGACACTTAACTACTTTACACCCAGTACCCAAACGAATTAATGCATCAGCACAGGACTTCACAGACAGTAAGAATGAGTGCCGAGCAGAATCCTTTTCCAGTATTAAAAAAAAAAAGAAAGATGTTCCTAAATTTCTGGCAATACCCAAACCTAACATAACCTTCATTATTTGATACCCAAACCACAACATCAAAAGCTGAGAAATTCAATGAAAAAAAAAAAAAAAAAAAAAATCAACTTGCACCTCTACAAACTTTATTTCAGCAGCAAACACTCCTGATGTAAAGCTGACCTTCCAAAGTAACTAACTAACTTTGGCACAGTGGCAGTAAGCAAAAGCCCTAGTCACTGTGTTCCAAGCAACAGTCTGCCCACTGCTTTGGGCATGAAAACAGAGCTACTGCAAGTGTCACCTCCAAAGACAACTGCAGCTTTTCACTTCTACAGAATCT